CAAAACTCGGCAGATAAAGGAGAATAAGGAGTAATATATATATAAAGAAATTATTTTAAACAATAAAATTATTTTAAAAAATTTAACTTATTTATATTATTATAAATAATATGCATAAAATTTATTGATGTAAATCATAAAATTAAGATTGCATTGAAAAAATGGAATATTGAGGTATTTGAAAATGTTGATAAGGTGATCTCTGATTTGACAACTGAGTTGAGCTTGATTGATGATAAAAATTCTATGATAGAACTTTTCGATGTGGAGAAGAAGCGTCAACAAATGTTGGTGGGTGATATTTGGAAGGCTAGGAAGAATAGAGAGAGTCTCATAGCCCAAAAAGCTCGGGTGAGATGGGGGAAAGAGGGTGATTTAAATACAAAGTTCTTTCATTTATGTGTTAATGGGAGGCGGCAACGAAATAATATACATGCGCTCCAAATTGGAGAGAGATGTGTCGAAGAAGTTAATGAGATTAAAACAGGTGTGATGTCCTATTTTGCGGCTCATTTTAGTAGTAGAAGTTGGCTTCGACCTACTATTAATATTAATAATTTACCAAGAGTCTCTGTTCTACAGAATGAGGAGCTTGTTAATGCTTTTTCGGAGGAGGAAGTGGGAAAGATGATTTTGGAGTGTGAGGGTGATAAAAGTCCAGGGCCTGATAGTTTCAATTTTGTGTTCCTTAAGAGGTTTTAGGGAGTGATCAAGGAAGAAGTGATGGGTATGCTTACTGAATTTTGTAGAAATGGGAAGCTACCTAGGTCTTTATTATCTTATTTTGTAGCACTTGTGCCAAAAGTGTCTTGCCCACAACAGATATCTGATTTTCGGCCTATCTCATTATTAGGTTGTCTTTATAAGATTGTTTCCAAGCTTTTGGCAAATAGGTTGAAAGGAGTTTTGAATTCAATAATTTTATAAGAACAATCAGCCTTTATCCCGGGAAGGAACATGTTAGATAGTGTACTTGTGGCTAATGAAGCAGTTGATTATGTGCGGAGGTATAATAAGAGGTGTTTTGTGTTAAAGCTTGATTATGAGAAGGCGTATGATTCGATAAAGTGGGGATATCTTTTGTTTATGTTACGTAGCTTTAGATTTTCAGACAAATGGGTCAGTTGGATGGAAGCTTGTGTGTGTGGGGAAAGCCTATCAGCTTTGATTAATGGTTGTCCTACATTGGAGGTTCATATTGAGCGGGGCCTAAAACAGGAGAATCCTCTTGCCCCTTTTCTTTTTCTTGTGGCAGCGGAAGGGTTAGGAGTTCTTATGCGGAAGGCAGTGACTTGTGGGTTGTTCTCTGGTGTGACGATTGGGGAAGAGGGACCAGATATTTCTTTGCTGCAGTTTGCAGATAACACATTGATTATGGGAGAGGCTTCGGTGCAGAATTTGTGGACTTTGAAAGCAGTATTGCGTAGCTTTGAATTAATGTCAGGTATGAAAATTAACTTCCATAAATCTTTTGTATTAGGGATTAACACTGGTGATGACTTTGAAAACTTGGCTGCGGAGTTCCTACATTGTAAGATTGGTAGTTTCCAATTAAAGTATCTCGGGTTACAGTTAGGTGTTAACCCGAGAAAGTCTAGTGCATGGAAGGGTGTGTTAGAGGCTCTTAAAAAGCGGTTAGCGTCATGGAAGCATAGGTATTTATCAATTGGAGGTAGGGTGACTTTGATTAATGCCGTTCTTAATTCTATGTCATTGCACTCGTTATCCTTTTTTAAGGTGCCGAAGTCGGTAATAAAGGAAATTGTCACTATCCAATGGAATTTTTTATGGAAGGGTGTTAAGGATGGATCTAAAATTCCCTGGGTGAAATGGAAAACTGTATGTAGACCGCAGAAGAATGGTGGCTTGGGCATTAGGAATGTGCAGTGGTTTAATTGGGCGCTTCTTGGTAAATAGTTGTGGCGAGGTGTTAACTGTTCTAGTTCATTGTGGGTACGGGTGTTGGAATCTAGATATGGAAGATTAGCTTCTTCTCTTCAGTATTCATCAGTTCACAACAGATGTTCTTTGTGGTGGCGTGATTTGCTGGAGGTTATTCATCAAGGGAATTCATGGCTGGATGAGAAGTTTGATAGAAGTGTGGGTGCAGGTTTACACACCTTTTTTTGGAGAGATAAGTGGGTAGGAGAGGTGCGATTGTGTGAAGCATTTCTGCGATTATTTGCAGTGGCGAGAAATGCTGAATCACGTGTATTGGAGAATGATTTTCATGATGGCACTAGATGAGTTTGGAATGTTAGTTGGCGAAGAGGACTCTTTCAACATGAGATCTCGAGCTTTAATCTTTTGTTAGAGCTTGTGGATGGAGTTTCTATTAAGTTACTACAAGAAGATAAATGGGTATGTAGGGCAGATTCTTCAGGTTGTTATTCAGTGCAATCTGCGTATTCATGGCTATTTGAACTTTTTGATGGTCCTAATAGTGTAGATCAGTGTACGGCAGATGCCTTGTAAAGGCTATGGAGAGGGAAGGTCCCTTTTAAGTATCTGGTTTTTTCTTGGCAATTGTTATTGAATGCACTTCCTTGTAAAGGTTTATTGATTGACTGTGGTGTTCAAATTGATGATATAACTTGTTGTTTCTGTCATGGTTTGGAGGAACTTCCAACTCATTTATTTTTAACTTGCTCAGTTTCATCTCAAATCTGGTACTTTACTGCGCGTTGGCTTGGATTCTCACTGGTTTTACCTTCAGATTTATCGACTCACTTGCTTTCTTGGGTTGGTGTTGGCTGTAGTAAAAGAGAAGGAATATGCTTATTAATTATTTGGGTAAGTAAAATGTGGTCTTTGTGGTTGCATAGAAATAGAATTATATTTTTCAATGGTGTTTTGGATGAGAGGGAAGTCCTAGATTCTATTATTCTGAGATCCTGGAAATGGTTATCACTTGTTAGTAAGGGAGAAGCTATTATGTTAGCTGATTGATATTTAAACCCATGAAATTGCATCTGTCTTAATTTTGCATAAGTATATTTTTGCTTTTTATTTCTCTGAGTAAATAATTTTTTGTGTATATGAGTTTTGAGTTCTCCTTAAACTTTTTTTAATAAGATTTATTTTGCCTATAAAAAAATAATATAAATTTTGTTTTGTATATTTTGTTAAATATATTAATATATTTAAACTAAAACCTGAATTAGGTTGTAAATTATGATCAGATTCAATATTTCTGATTATCTTTTTATAATTAGTATATATTTGAGTTTTTATTTAAAAATATTGTCTTTTGAATAAAAAAATAGTTGTTAAAACAAATTATTTAATTAATGTTTCATTCATACTTTAATTAACAAAATTTTGTTTATTTATTAATGAAAATGTTTAAAAAAATTTTAAAATAAAAAACTAACCAACCAAATATATGGATCCACTATCATTCTATCTTAATATGTGGTATTAGCTTCCAGTTAATCTTAATTAAAAAAATATTCCCTCTAATAAATGATACATATAATCAAAATAAAAAAATAATAACAAAAATTAAAAAAATCCAAGCCAAATGTAAAATATTGATTTGACTCTGTTCGAATTTGATTTTATTCTTATATCAATCTATAACTTTTATCTATAATCAAATTAAATGATTTTTTAATCTCAAAATATTCCAAATCCAATTGTTTATTGAATACTCCTAATTTGAGTCACATGGATTGAGTTTAAACATCCCAAATTAATGAGGTGTTATTGAAAATAATTTTTTCAAATTTTTTATCCTATAAAATAATAATTACTTTCTTTTTTTAATAAAAATAATAATTTTAATTGTTTAAACTTAATTCTAATAAAATTTAAAATAGGGAATAGGGAATAAAAATAAATTTTAACTTTAATTTGTAAATTTGGCATTACCGGTGAATTTTGTTTCTAACATTAAAAGGAAATGATAAAAACATATTCGAAGTGAAAACGACGTGTTATAGCTTAGATAGTGATGTCATTTAATGAAAGTGTAAATCGATGAAACTTGTTTTCCTTTTAAGCATATTATTCCAACTATAAAACGCCATTTATCCATTTACACGTGTTTCATCAGCTTTGCATATTGGTAATATTCTTGTTTGCAACTTTAATATGAGTAAAATAATAATAAAATAACGAAGTGATTTGGAAAAAAATCACATCTAAAAAATAATATTTTTTATATATAAAACTTAAAAACATTGAATTAGTAAAAAAGGACCAGATCACACGCCCCAAATTCTGTATTTGTTTTTTTTTTTCAAAAGTATTCATTTCATTCCTTTTCAAGAACAAATGACTGTACGATAATGGACTATAATCCAATTAATCAAAATATAATAGGAATATTTTTTTATATATGAAATTTAAAAAATAGATATTAAAATATAGTATTTTTAAAAATATTTAAACCGACGCACCGCCATTCAAAATTCAAACAAATAAAAAAAAGCATATTTGTGCTAAATATTTATTAGTTAGAGCACAGCATGTTTTGAAGAGCGACGATTATCACATTATTATGAGCATAAATAAATATTTATTAATTAACGGTTGTGGTGCACAAAATAAAAAATTTGCGTTTACTCTGCTTCTCCATCATCGTTTCTGGGTGTTTGTGGTTCTCTATTTTGGTCATTTCCTGAATAACATCTTCGTATGATTCAGAGAGATCTTGAGATGCAAGTTGACGGTACTCCACAAGCTCTTGGAAATACTAAAGTAATAAATAAGAGAAAAAATAATTTGTAAATGAGATAAAATAAAATACATATTTTTGTTTAAGGTGCACCATTTTCTGATTAGGCTTCCTAATTAAATAATCATACTCTCCTCACTACTCTGGATTGCTTTATTATATTATTATAATAATAAACCACGAGAGCCAAGATGTTTTGCACGGGTCCAGTACGTCCTTATGCTATATTTTCTCAGAAAATTAGAGAGAAAAGAAAGATAAGCAAAACGAGTTTTCTGATAACTTCTGTCACGTTGACCTGCCAATTCATGCTAATAAGATTGTGTATTTGTGTATTTTATTCTGGAGAGAAAGAAAGCCATCGTCAGCGTTAGTTAGAGGGGTATAGAATACGTTGACATAAAAGGGTAAGAATAATTTTCCAAGTCATGTCTACTTGCATGGAGATCTAATATATAGTAATTGGATAACCAAGCAACACTTAGTGATTTCATACAGCTTATTTAGTAAGACAATGCTACATATAGATTTAATCACATGAAATTTGATCTTTAGCTCGGACCAGGTCTTCAATATCAACGAAGTGCCCATAAGAAACCTGTTTCTTCTTAGTTTGCCTTGACTCTGGAAGTTTGGGTAATGAGGTTCAGCATCCCATAGTGTAATTTCTTTCTAGTTCTAGCATATGTAACAAGCTAACAGACAAATTAAATGACAGTCTTCCTTCAGAGGCTTGTGAACACTGCTTGCAACTTTGCTGATATCAATTTTAAGGTCTCATAATCCAAACAGTTTTAATACTTTTTTGGGTATCCCAAGGAATCGTTAACATTAATTTATCACCTGTGTCCTAATACCCACCGGCCTCATTTTCACATGTTAGAGGAGGGGATGTTACTGTTATTATTATTCTTTGAAGAAATTTTTCAACTGCTGCTCCTACCATGATCCCTAACACTAAATAAAGGTGTTCGCTAAAATTCCAAACATCTTGGACACCTAAATATATGACATTTAAGTATAAGACATAAGGAAATTCAAGATCCCGTGTTTTAAACATAAAGGATCATGAATTTCCGTACATAGTATACACGAATATATATTTAAGTTTTCAAGATGCTTGGAATTCATGATACTTTGTATGTGTGAGTAGGTAAAATTAAAAAGCGTGCTTAATCTTTAAGGCCAATAATTTTACCCACTTAGTGTGGCTGAAAAACGGTCTATCTGAAACAGGTATGAGCTTTATAAACAATGCAATTGGCCATGACACAGCTGCAATTCCAACACAAATTCCCCATTGCTCCCATGTTAATCTCTCTGTATCAGCAAACTTCCTTAGGAGTTCCACCATCACAACTTGAAGAACAACAGTTATCCCCACAATTCCAAGAAACAAGTGGTTTTTGTGAATACCTTGGAATACATTAAGTTTCTCCATACTTCTTGAGTTGAACTCGTTGAAAACTTGGCAGAGAACAAAAATATTAAATATTAGAGTATCCTTTACCTTCTCATTTACATGGAAGATTGACTTGCCATTGAATTGTAAAACCAACAGAATAGCAATCTGATATAAAGCTTGAGCTAAAAGGTTTCTCCACATAATACTAGTAATAAGAGGTTCAGTTCTACCTACTGGCTGTTTCTGCATTAACTCCTTTGTAGGCCGTTCTGTAGCCAATGCAAGAGCTCCTAGAGTATCCATAATGAGATTTACCCATAATAGTTGAACTGTTGTAAGGGGAACATCTCCTGAAGAAACTGCTGCTATAAAGTTTATCACTAAAGCTGCAACATTCACGGTTAGTTGAAACTGGATAAATTTCTGGATGTTGTTATAAACACATCTTCCCCACCTCAAAACAGTGGCAACAGAACTGAAGTTGTCATCTAAGATAACAATGTCAGAGCTTTCCTTGGCAACTTCAGTTCCTTGGATCCCCATTGAAAGTCCAATATCAGCTTCTTTTAGGGCGGGTGCATCATTTGTGCCATCTCCTGTAACTGCAACTACATGGCCTTTCTTCTTCAAGCATTGCACCATCAAATGTTTGTCCAAAGGGGATGATCTGGCCATCACACGGATCTTGTCAACTTTCTCCATTCTATCTTCCTCTGTATAGTTTCTGAACTCCACACCTTCCACAACTTCTCCTGCATTTACATGGCCATCAAGATCTAATATTCCACATTCTGTTGCAATTGCTCTTGCAGTGAATATGTTATCTCCAGTGATCATCTTGATATGAACTCCCGCATGTTTGCAAGTTTCCACAGCCTTCTTGACATCAGGACGGCATGGATCCTTGAGGCCAACAATGCCTAGCAAGGTCAAGCCATCTTTTCTTAGGACCTGATGTGCATCCTTATCGTTGTAATCAATATCTTCTGAAATCTCAATGTGAGCAAAAGCAATACATCGTAGGCTACTAGCTGCCATACCTTGAATTATCTTCTCAAGTTTACTTCGCTCTTCATCAAGGGACTTCTCTATGCCGTTACAATCAATATAATTAGAACACATTGCAAGTATAATCTCTGCAGCGCCTTTCCAATGCACGTGAACTGTGTTGTTGGTCTGTTTCCTTATTGCAATTCCACTTCGTTTCTTCTCTGAGTTAAATGTTTCAACATGAAGAACTTTGTGTGTGCGCTTCAGTTCATCCATGTCCATTCCTAAATCTGATACAGCCCAAAGGAGTATAGCTTTCTCTGTTGGGCTACCAGAAATTTCAGGTTCAGACTCTGATGAAGGTTTATAGACACTGCCAGTTGTATTGAGGCCAACTCCTTGGTGGAATAACTCGAGAACATTAGGGGCCATTGCATTGGAAAAGTTTTCAATAACATTTTCTAGGCCTAGCCAAAACTTTGTCACTCTCATCTGGTTCAAAGTTAAGGTGCCGGTTTTATCGGTGCATATAACTGTTGCTGACCCCATGGTTTCACAAGCAGAGAGTTTCCTCACCATTGCTTGGTCTGCCATCATTCTTTTCATGGAGTAAGCTAGTGTGAGAGTGACAGCCAATGGCAGACCCTCAGGGATTGCCACAACCACAATAGTGACTGCAGCAGCAACAATACGCACAACCGCATTGAAAATGTCATTCACATCGGTTTTACCACCCTGGAACTCCTTATTACCATTATCATCTTCTGTATTTCCAGTGAAATAACGAATGAACAAGACTATGAGTACAAGAAAAGCGACCGTAAGGCCTACCTTTCCAATAGAAGAGGTTAACTTGTCAAGGCGAGCTTGTAATGGTGTTCTCTCCTTGGTGTCTCGGGATATAGAGCTCATCATTTGGCCCCACGCAGTGTTAGTTCCCACAGACGTGACAAGCATTTGAGCATAGCCCTCCACCACCTTTGCACCAGACAACAAGAAGGGGCTCTTCAAAAGCTCAATTTCTACATGATCGCTCTCACCTGTCATACTTGATTCATCCACTTGCAAAGAATGGCCAGTTAGGAACAGTCCATCAGCTGGAATTTGGTCACCAATCTTAAGGGAAACAATATCTCCCACAACAACTTCAAAGATGGATATCTGCTGTGGCCTTCCATTTCTCACAACTACAACTTTGATGTTGTTGCTTATCTTAGACAACTTGTAAAATTGTCTCTCTTGTCTAAAGTTGCTGAGTGCAGTGACAACCACTACCAGAAACACTGCTACAAATATACTCCCTCCTTCATACCAGCCTTGCCCAGGTCCATGTTCTTTTATGCCAAAACCAAGGGAAAGGCCAGCACAAACAAGAAGGATCAGGATAGTAGTGTCATTCAAAGCTTCCAGTACAAAGTGTACGAAGACTTTGGGTGGTGGCCTTTGGTAAGTGTTGGAACCAAACAATCCACTTCGTTTGGAAATATCATCATCACTGCCAAGGATTCCCTTAGCTGGAAGGGTTCCAAGAATATTTGCAACACCTTCAACTCCTCCAAACTCAGTAAGGGCTAACAAGTTTTTGTCTTTAACCATACTAACAAGTTTGGCTTTGTCAACATCAGGAACCAAACAATAATGATCGGCTCCACTGTTCACATGAAGGGGAACTAAGGGCTCAACTATATTAAGAGTGCTGCTGGAAGTGGAAGACTGTGTTTGGAAGATTTTTGTGTAGGGATGGGTGTTTCTGTTTCTTTTTGATATGACCTCCTTGGCAAGGGAAAGCATGACCCGTCTAGAATAAATTGCTGTATAAGCAAAACGCCACCTTTTCTTGGCTTTGTTAATGGTGTAATTGACAGTGAAATCGGTAAGGACACTGGTTATGTCAATGAGAAATGAGTTACCCTCATATTTCAGATTTTGGCTACTAGACATGGTGGACTTCAAGACAAAAATGAAAAGTGCTATAATTATTCTAAAGAAGAGATGAGTAGGAAAGAACTTCTTTCCAAACACTCAATGGTTGTTACCTATATAGGGATATTTCGTGCGGGAGGGTTCATAGGCATGATTTCCTGGTAACTTCCGAACAACTATGCACCCAAATGTCTTTAATATTTTAGTTCAATTTGGTCAAAGATTTTTAAAGACACGCTTTATACACTGTTCTTGCCGCACTATTCAAGTGAGTTATAAGACAAAAAAAAGTTACTTTTTTTTATACCAGTTCACGTTTAGATGGCAGTCTAGTACTCTAGTAAGATAAAATTCAGAATTTTTAAAATAAAAATTGCAAAGCTGGCGAATGCAATGGTTTTTTCTGTAATACTAGCAAAGATAATTCATGAAGCCGGCATAGAGATGAGTAGTGTCTGACCATAATCTATGTTGCCATTCAACAAATTCCAAAATAGATGGGAACATTTCTCCCAGTTACAAATGTGCACTTGGTTAAGGTACAAAAGTAGCTTTGCGTGTAAGTTAGATGACCTAATTAATCCTACCAACAGACTAAAGGAAAATTGTGATAAAATGAAACAAGGTTCAGTGTAATATCTTCTTGACTTTGTCTGGTGGATTTATGAAATAATTGTCATTTTTGCTGATCCGTTTATTTCTGTCTTTTTCCCGATTAATAGAAAGTTTCTCAAAATCTCCGGGCAACGGCATGCCGACTTAGCCGGACATCAATTTTGCGTGGAATTTGCATGCATACGAGTACAAACTTACAAAGACAATTTTAGCTACTCTAATAATTTTTTGTTCTCAAATTACAGAGAAAATTAGAGAAAAATGAACTGGGTTCAGTTTTTAGTTAATATTTCTAATTTAAATTTCCCTTTTCTACAAGACATCCCTTCAATTATAAAAGCATACAAAATCCATCAAATGAAAATCTCTATCATTATTCTGTCTTATGTAATAATTACATGGATAGATTTATTCATTTATTCTTTGTTTAAATAAAATGCTAAATAGTTGAGCACGAAAGCGATCAATATATCAGATGAATGAATTATTAAAATGCTAAACACAACACTTGATCACAAAACATACATGAACTAACAACTTAATTAACAAACATTTCTCTAAAGATATTTTAAATATTGTAGCTAACCACATTAAGAAGTTAAAAGTGAAAAAAAAATTCTTTAAAAAAACGTTTGACTTCATTAAAAAATTATAGGAAGATATTTATTAATTCAATTATTTTAACATTTTTTTTTTACTTTTCATTCTTTAACCAGTGTCTTGATTAGTATTTTCCTGTTTTAAAACTAATAATTTTTACAAATAGTCCAAAGAAATCAGAACACGATAAATATAAAAGACAAAGGGAAGGGAAGGATTTACTCATATTACCGTACTCCCTAACATTTTCCAACTTAGAAGCAGATTAACTAATCGTCTAATCCTAATAACTAGCGACAAGTATCCTTCAGAATTTTACTTAACGAATTTATTATTTAAATATTACAAAATAACACCATATAATCATTTTTATCTTTCACTTATTTCTTTATTTATTTTCTTTCTTATATTCATCTTAAAAATACACTTAAAAATTAAAAATGTTTTTCAAAAGTTATTCAATAAACATTTTTCTTTGCTTACGGCATCAAATATACGACTAGGGAAAGAGAAATTGTTGAATTCACGACGACGTAAACAATGGACATCAAAATTTGCGGCCTGTTTCACACCATCGACACCGAATGACAATGTTCTTACATCCAGACAGGCGTGTCCACTCCGCCCAGATGCTCCACGGCAGCAAATTTATTTATGAACTGCTACTTCCATCCTATTTAGTTAAAATTATATATTTTTTTAATTTTTTTCTTTTATCTATTAATTTTAAAAAAATTTAAAATCCTCTTTAAACGTGATTTAGATAAATAAATTCTTTTCTGTTAATTATGTTAACTCAATTTATTTTTGTGTCTTTTTGGCTTAAGCATTTCACTGTTTTCTTTATTTTACTTCCTTCCTTTTTAAGCCTCCTTCTCTTCTTACTATCATCCAATAATACAATGATGTGTGACATAGAATATTAAGTAAAAAGTCTTACAATGAGTAAAACATTATAATACAATTTCATGGGTTATTCTCTTTATAAACTCCTAATTTATTTATATCTCATTCCATGAAAAACTCAATTCACACTTAATTTCAACGAGATGATAATTTAAATTTGCTACGACCCTATTATATCAGTGATGACAGAGGTATGAGCGCTTATGACATTATGTGTAATGGTGGCGTGTAATTGGCTCTCAATCGGGCATGATTGACGACTGGCGAATGATAACAGTGCAAAGGGTGATAGTTTGAATTGTATGAAGTAATATTATCAGGTGTATGTGTGCTCACAGACTGCATAGTGAAGGTTAACATGTGATCTTTTGGCGATGGTGGATGAGATGTGAGTGAGGTGTGTGTGATATGTGTTTACAGAGGCATTTAAATAAGTGAGCATTATGTGCTTATTTTGCAAGTGAGGTGCAGAGTGTGGGATGGTCATTAATGTGTGAGTGACATATTAAGTGAACTTGGACCATGCAAGGAAGAGAAAGACGAAAAAGTGGAGGAGGCTTCAGAAGAAGAAAAATGAAAACCATAAACAATGTAATTAAAAAAAACGAACAAATTAAATGGAATTAATGTAATCAACGGATAAAGACCTATTTAAATTTTGTTTATCTCCTGAAACAAATACCTAATTTATTAAATTTAATAAAATTATATATATATATATATATATATATATATATATATATATAGACTAAATACCCAAGATTGGCATTTTGAGTACGATTTTTATATATATCAAATTTGAAATTTTGTTAAAGAAAATTAAATATTACTACATGAATTAACTATTCATAATAATGTTATATGACATCTTAATCATAAAATATAATAAACAAAATATATAACTTAGATCAAACATAAAAAAAATTAATCTGCTAGCCTAAAAGTCAAGTATTTACACTCAGGTGCTTACAATAATCAGCATTCGTAAAAAAAATCATATAACGACATATATTTAGTGATTTTTAAAGTAGAAATAACGCAAACAACTTATTATTATACGTATAGTGACTTGAGTAATAATTATAAATATTCTATACAATGATATAGATAATATTATTTAAAGCAAAACAATTAGTTATAAATAAGAATTTGTATAACACTACTTTTTTGTTTTAAAGTTAGTATATTCAATAACCTGTAGGTAAATAATTATCCTCGTCATGGATACTTTTTACGGATATCTATTGAATATAAGTCTATTTGTCATCTCTAATTAAAATATCTATGTACATGCTATATATATCTTCTATTTCATATCCTATTAGTCCAAATAAAGTTTCAAAGAAAAATTTATTCTCATTCTTATTGTAAAACGTTAACAAAATAGATCTCACTCGTATTCTAATAAACTTCACTCGTAATTTTTTTTAATAAATTTTAACCAATATCTTTAAAATTCCCTTCCAACATCTCCTATACAACTTAATTAAACGCTTAATTATTTGATAAACTTTTAAAATAATAACTTATGCTATGAATTTAATCGTAAATTAATTAAGATAACTTAAAAATAAATTAATTAAATAAATTATATCAAGAAAGTTCATCGTTTTCCACCTTTACTGATTTTCACCGTTCCTACGAACTTGGCCTATCTTCACACGAGCAGTGGTTTAATTGCAACTAGCACCACCCAACTTTATCAGCGACCACTCAGCCTTAGTCACCACAACCAAGTCGACGCTTTGTTCCAACAACACTCCACCATCCAATCCAACTCTTCAATTTTTTTGAACATATTGTCTATTTTATTTTTATTTTTATTATTTTAAAGCCTTTCCTTTAATTTTGATGAACTAACTTGTTTAACCTAGCACCTATGGTAATTATAGTTGAATTTAATAAATTTTGATGAATTTTCCTCCCCAACTTGTGGAGGTGAGACTACCATCTAAATTAAATTGACTCACTTTGACAAAGTCTAGTCATCAGCTGTTGCTCATTTCTGATTGATCAATAATAGTCATTAGATGACTGGGTTATTTCAGGCCGCAAAAAAAAAATATGACTAGGATATTATTGAATTTGATTATCATTTAGCTTTATGTGGTCCACCATAGCCTTAATTTTTATTTTAAAGAATAGTTATTAAATAAAATAAAATAATCCACAATGGAAGACCAAGAAATAACCTGACCAGGTACATATGTAACAGTCACAATAGTATTGTTAAAACTAGCTTGAACATGAATAACTCCAGTATTTTATGAGCATACTTACGTGAACCAATACATTCACCCATTTTTGGTATAAGTTTTGCCATATTTGATTATTTCATAAAAATAAGTCCGAGATATATGGATATATCCATTTCATTCAAAAATGGATCCTTTACTTTTTTCTAACTAATTTCTAACTAGAATTCATATTCAATTTATATATATCAATTGTATTTTTATATTAATCAACATCAAATATAAATTTTTGAAATAAAATTTTAAATTAGAAATACCAATAATAAAAAATTTCTTCTACTATTTTATAGAATATATATTCTAATATTTTTATATTCTATTTTTATAAAAAATCCTCTTTTGTAAAAATATTATCCTTGTCTTTGTTTATGTTTTGGATTGGAACAAATTACTATAATTCACCCTTGCCTGCGAATTAATCAACATTTTTCACAAATTTTACGGACGGAGGCTCCTATTTTCATATTTGTAATTCCTTAATAAGTTAATACCAAATCTATTTATTGGAAGAAAATAAGGTTTCCTTAAATTTTAAACTTGTACCTCAAAAAAAAAAAGATTGTTGAAATTAAAAAACAGTCTAATTAAATTGAATTTTGTATGCTTCCTTCTTTTTTTCTATGGGCGTATACATATAAACATATAAAAAGTATGTCAAATCTTTTGAAAAACATAACTTATAATTCAATTATGATTATATAAAGGAATC